GGATGAACTCCTCGTTCGACAGGCAGGACGTCTTCAGCTTCAGGTTGTGGATCTTCTGCTTGCGCGCGGCCTCCAGCGTGACGTCCGTCACCTCCGGCACCGCCGGCTGCTGCTGGTCCGCGGGGCCCACAACACCAGCCACATCCTTCTCGCTCATTGCGTCCTTTGCTGCTGTAAGGGGAATATGTAGTACGATGTACTTCGCTTGGCCTCGCCTCTCTTCCGCTGCAAAAAAAAAAAGAATAGAGGGGAGAGTAGGACCATAGGGAAACAAAGTAAATGCCCTGCACGCACCAGGCGCACCAAGACCCAGCACGCCACGTTGCCCATTGGCAACACCGCAAGTCAATATCCATTTAAGAAGCTGCCCTTGGCGCCGCCAACTCCACTGCCCCTTCTCTCACACACGTACAGTGAGGCGCCAAGGTCGGCAGCAGGTGCGGACACGGGGTCCATGCGTTCCTACGGCGCAAATCATACATAACAATCATACATTAGTTGGGGAGGACGGCGAGGGGGCCGACGGCGCGGCGGCGGCCGCGACGCTGGCAGGCGCGCATCACTGCGTGATCTGCTGCACCGTCTTGCCACGGTACTGCTGGCTCTGCAGCGTCTTGGAGCGCTTCAGCTCCTCGCGCTCCGCCGCAATCTTCACCTCCTCCTGCTTCGCCAGATGGGCGCGGTACTCGACCATCTTGCTGCGCCGCGTCAAGTTGCCGTCCTCCACCTCCTCGGCAGGGTGGACGAACTCGATGCCGGCCTGGTTCAACGCGTCCTCGGTGGGGCCAAACATCTCCAGGGCCTGCGCCATCTTGTCCTTCAGCATCTCCAGCTCCTCCTCCACCTGCGCACGCAGCTTGTACAGCTCCTTCTTTGCGTCCGAGTGCTTCTTCGCGTTCGGGTCAAACGTCTCGATGGCGAACTCCAGCTGGATGTGCGTCGTCCGGATGTTGCGATCAATCTCCTCCAGCCGCTTCTCCTTCTTGTACACCAGTTGGCCCAGCGTCTTGTACAGGCGGCGGAATGCCTCCAGGTACTCCTGGTGCACCTGCAGCCGCAGTTCCCCAAGCTCCTCGTTAGTCTTGTCGTGGCGCGACTTGATGGCGCTGCAGCCCTCCGCCACAAGCTCCTCCAGCATCCCGATGCACCGCATCGCCAGGTCGCAGTTGTACACGGAGAGCTCCAGCAGCTTCTTGTGCTGCCCGCACACGTCGAGGAACTGCTGGTACTCCACCTTGCGCTTCTCCTCACGGTCGTTCTCCTCGATGCGGCGCTTCACCTCCTCGAAGCGCTCCGTCCCCAGGCGCTGCAGGACGCGCTCCAGCTCCTGGATGCGGCGCCACGACTCGTCCTGCCTGTCAAGGTTCTCCTGAATAAACTTCTCCGACTTCTCCTTCTGCGTCGCGAACAGCTTCATCGCCTCCGCGTCCTCCAGGTCCGCCTTCTGGATCGCGTCGTGCAGGCTCTTCAGGTCGTCCTCGCAGCGCTGCTTCAGGCGCCGCTTGGCGTCCTTGATCGCCGACGTCTCCTGGAAGGACTTCTTCTGCACGTCCTGGATGCGGCCAAACGGCTTGTTCTCGTCCTCAGTTTGCCCAATGATGCGGAACTTGTCGGCCACCAGCTCCACCAGGTGCTCCAGCAGCTGCGCCTTGATGTAGTACTGCTCCTCCGCGATCGCCATCTCGCCGTCGGCGATCGCCACGTTGCGGATCTCCTTCGCCTTGTCAATCGCCGCCAGCTGCGCCTTGATCTGCTCCTCGTTGCCGAGCAGCGCCGTCTGCACGACGGTCACGTTCATGCACCCCTCAAGGTTCTTCAGCACCGCCACCGGCACCTGCGCCATCTCCGACGCGTCCAGCTGCGAGCGCCGCAGCTCGTCCTCGATCTTGTCCAGCTTCGCAATCGCGTTGTCGATCGTGCCGGTGAAGGAAACGGTGCGCGTCTTGTTGTGGTGCTGCTTCAGCTCGTTCAGCGTCTTCTTCAGCGCAACGACCTCCATAAACTGCGGTTTGTCCTCCGGCTTGTACAGCTCGCGCACCGACAGCTGCAGCCCGCACACGCGCATCAGCTTCTTGATGTCGTACGCCTCCGTCAGGTTCCACTTCGTCCCACCCTCCACCGCCGCCAGCAGCTCCTGCGCCTTCTCGTGCGCCGCCAGCAGCTTCTGCTTCTGCGTCTCGCTCCAGTCTGACACGTGCAGGTCCTGGATGAACTCCTCGTTCGACAGGCAGGACGTCTTCAGCTTCAGGTTGTGGATCTTCTGCTTGCGCGCGGCCTCCAGCGTGACGTCCGTCACCTCCGGCACCGCCGGCTGCTGCTGGTCCGCGGGGCCCACAACACCAGCCACATCCTTCTCGCTCATTGCGTCCTTTGCTGCTGTAAGGGGAATATGTAGTACGATGTACTTCGCTTGGCCTCGCCTCTCTTCCGCTGCAAAAAAAAAAAGAATAGAGGGGAGAGTAGGACCATAGGGAAACAAAGTAAATGCCCTGCACGCACCAGGCGCACCAAGACCCAACACGCCACGTTGCCCATTGGCAACACCGCAAGTCAATATCCATTTAAGAAGCTGCCCTTGGCGCCGCCAACTCCACTGCCCCTTCTCTCACACACGTACAGTGAGGCGCCAAGGTCGGCAGCAGGTGCGGACACGGGGTCCATGCGT